AATTGTTAGATTTAATTTTTATCAAGTTCTAATAAAATTATCGTTAAAAATAATTTTTTGTGACAATTTTTTACTTATGTCACTAAAAATTAATAATTAGCGACTTTTTTTGTGGGACCTCAATTAGGGGATATTGACCAATTGCACCTCTAATGATTTAGTCATTTTTGTTTTTGTTTTAGAAAGTTTTATTTATTTGATTTGATGTCATTTGAGTTTAAATGAATACTTTTTTCTAATTCATTTTTCAATTTTTTGATTCATTTTTTGGGATGGGAATGAAAAGGTGAGATGTGAAATATTCTTTTTGGGGGGATTGGCGGTTAAAGTATTGGTTGTCGAGCGTAGAAATCTACATTTCTGTTAATGTGATTTTTTGGTATTACATTAGAGTATTATTACATTAGAGTGGTACGTTTGGAACAAGTATACTAAGGAGTTTTTGTATTACATTGATTGGAGTATTACGTTTGAAAAAAAAAATACATTAAGTAGTTTTTTTTAAATGTTACGTTATTACGTTTGAGAAAAGTATACTAAAGAGTTTTTTAGTATGTTATATTGGAGTGTTACGTTTGAAAAAAATATACTAAGGAGTTTTTGTATTTTACATTGATTAGAGTATTACGTTTGAAAAAAGTATACTAAGAAATTTTTTAACGTTACATTGATTGGAGTGTTACGTTTAGGAAAAATATACTAAGAAATTTTTGTGGAATGTTACGTTGTTACGCATAAGAAAAAAATACATTAAGAATTTTTTTTGAAAAAGTAATTTTAACATCGTTTATCTTTTAACACATAACACACACATATTTATACTTAACCTTTTATATAATTCACATTAAAATAAAACTTTTGACTTCATAAAAAAAAAAAATAGACCAAATAATTAATAAAATTACTATTTAATATTTACGATTCCGATAGGTAGCTCGAATTTGGAGGCTCGAATTCGGAGAAGAAGAAGGAAGAAGAAGAAGAAGCGAAGGAGGAAAGAGGAAGGAGGAGGACTGAAGGGGGCATAATCACAGGGGGAGGAGGAGGCGGAGGCGACGGCGGTGGTGCTGCGACGATCGCTGGTGCTGCGACGATCTCCTCTCCTCCTCTCTCTTTCTCCCTCTCTCCTCCTCTTTCTCTTCTCCTCTCTTCTTCCTGTCTTCTCTCCCTCTTTCTCCTCTGTCTCTGTCTTCAAATTCGAATTCGAGCCAAAATTGAGCCACTTTTTTCGAGCTACCAGTCATTTTCGAATAGATAAATGCCCATTTCATAAACTGCTGACGTCACTGTGCTATCATTTTAGTGGATAAATTAATGATTTTTGTTTTTATTTCGATAACCAACCACATGAAAGTGGTCATTATTTTGATTTTGCGATGTTCATCTCTCTCACTATTGTCCTTATCTGTCATATAAAATCTAATAACGTTATCGTTTGGTAAAAAAAAAAAAAATTAATTAGCTATTTTAAGTTAGAACTTTTTTAATTTGAGATGCAAATATTTGTTTGGATTGATTTTTTTTAATTTTTTAATTTTCATGAAAAATAAAATAAAATAATTATGATTTAAATATGACATATTATTTTATTAACTTATTTAGTCTATTTTATCTTTTATATTTTTTTAATCAGAACTAACTTAAGATTATTTTGGGAAGATGGTTAAAAATCAATTTTTTAACTTTTTTTTAAAAAATTTATAAAAAATATGCGAGATGATATGACCTAAAATGAGCTAAAAATTGAAAGATGACTTTTAATCATCTTCCTAAAATAACCCTTATTTACCCTTAACCAAACGAAACCATAATTATAACAAAGATTAGATAACTAATACACACAAACTCTCAAATTAAGAGAAACATACCAAACAAATAAATTAAAAATACAACTAAGGGTTGTTTTAGGAATATACTATTTTAGTAGTTTTATATAGTACTATTGGCTAACAAAGTAATTATAGATAAAAATAATAATAATAAAAAGTAAAATTGCTAATTTTTGTAATTTTAAAAATATTGAAAAATAATACTATTGGCTAACAAAGTAACTATAGATTTAAAAATAATAATTGAATTACAAGTTATTAAAATCTCTTCCCTAATATTTATCTATTTCCTAAATCTCATAATCTATCAATCTATGCTATATATTATACGAAAAATGCTTGGGAGCACTAATTAGTGCTCCCACTAATTAGGTGGCAGTGGGTCCCGCCATGAATGATGTGATGTTTTGGTCTTGGAGTTGTAATTTTTTTTATTTTTTTTAATTTTTTTAATGCATTAGTGCTATTAGTGGTGATGTTTTTAGTGGGATGAATCATTGTTGATATTATACCAAAGTGACTTTTCATCTTAGAGGCCATAAGTGTTTCAAAACCTTAAATCTAATTTTTTGAATTTTTGATTTTTATAAAACAAAAATTAAAACATCTATTGGCTATTCTAAAGACATAAATATTAACCTTCAAAATTATTTAATGCAAATATATTACCAGAAAGAAAGAAATAAATAAGAAAGAAAAAAACACACAATTCTCAACCCCCTTTCCCTCTCAAAATAAATCAAGCCTTTATTTAAAAAGAATATAAATTTCATACAATCTTTTCTCTCCTAAAATAAATATAATGAAAAAGAAACTTTCTCACCTCGTACAAAATGTATACTATTAATATCTTTCACAATTGGTCTGATCTATATAAACCTAAAATTAACCCTAACATAAAATAAAAATTAAACTTTATTTATAGAATCTCTTTCTATTCCATAATTAAACGCAATTTTATTCCCAAATAAATTTAAGCATATCTATGCTATATATAATTTTTTTAAAAAAATCTGATAATTAATTATTTTTTATAATGATTCCATGATTTATAATTTTGAAAATGAAAAATGAAAAAAATTATTCTTGTGCACTCTTTCTCTAACCAATTCTTTATTCTATCCAAAAATCCTAGCCATTATACATTATACCTTTTCCAAGCTATGCATGTCTTTCTCACCCTATAAATATTATATTCATGGAACAATGAAATTCATTGTTTTTTAACTTTCTTTATGAGACAATTTGGACGTTAGCTTATATTTATATTGTATCATTTAAACAGACTCTTTTATCCTTTAGGTATATCATTTTTTCTTTTTCTTTTTTATCTATGACCATTTTTTTCTTTTTGTATTTCATATTTTGCGTGTCATTTCTCCCTCCTCTTTACCAATCATTATTTTTTTTTGTTTATAACTATTTTATTGGTTAATATTATTTTACTAGAATTTTTATACTAAAATGGCGTGGTAAGATCATTTGTATAATAAAAAAATTTGTCACTCATTATAAAATGATAAATAAAAATTCAAACAAAATTATTATTAATAAGTTTTTTGTATTGATTTTATGTTTGTATATCATTTTTTTTTTCTTAAATTTGCTTTAATATTTTTTTTGATATCATGATATGTATTAATTGACAGTTGGTGCAGAGTATTACTTCAAAGACATATAATAGTTTTTCAAAGCAATAAAAAGAAAATATTAATTTTAATCAATATTTTCAAAACTATTAAAGGTGTTAGTCAATTATTTATCTTTACTATTTTTTGTTGGTTAATATTATTTTACTAAAATTTTTATACTAAAATGGCGTGGTAAGATCATTTGTATAATAAAAAAATTTGTCACTCATTATAAAGTGATAAATAAAAATTCAAACAAAATTATTATTAATAAGTTTTTTGTATTGATTTTATATTTGTATATCATTTTTTTTTCTTAAATTTACTTTTAATATTTTTTTTGATATCATGATATGTATTAATTGACAGTTGGTGCAGAGTATTACTTCAAAGGCATATAATAGTTTTTCAAAGCTATAAAAAGAAAATATTAATTTTAATCAATTTTTCCAAACTATTAAAGGTGTTAGTCAATTATTTATCTTTAAAATGTACAGTTCCTCTCTTCTTTTATGGTACTTCTCTATCTACTCCACTGTGAGTTCATATGTTTTTAGAAAGAAATCATATGTAATTAAAAAATTTTGAATCTTTTTGTATAGGAAATTAAAAAATAAATTTTAAAATTTAAAACATAGCTATACAAAATCATATCCTTTTAATATAGCTATATTTATAATTAATTTTAATCTATCTATTACCCATCCTTATTTATATTATTTTATAAATAAAAATGTTGTACGATAATTGAAGTTCAAAGTCCTAATCTATTTTTTTTCAAAATTTAAAATTGTTAAAATGCATTTGTTGCAATATCATTAATTTCTTCCTATTGTAAGTTTTATTTTAAATCTTATAAGATTTGTTCAATGACTAATATTCAATTTTTGTAAAAAAATTTCAATATATTCCTTCCAAAAATTAATATAGCAACTCTACAAAATCATATTTTAAAACTCAAAATTATTAATATTTTTATTTATTTTTGTTTTTGATTTAAATAAACATGTTAAAGTATAAATAGATATCTAAATAAAATTATACTTATTAATAAATATGACATTAGTTTTAATTGTAATCACATCTTTTTAAAGTCTATTCATTTTTTAACTTTTTTTTAATATTTTAAATTACATGTTACGATAATTCTTTCTTACTCATTGAATTTTTAAAATTTCTTTAATTATTTCATTTTCAAAAACTAATAAAACAATTTTTTTAAATTCATATATTTTTATTCTAAAATAGTGAAATCTTATAACTATGTCATTTTTTTATAACAAAGCATAATTTTAATTGTTAATTGTCAATACAACAATTTTTATCTATCTATACTATATATTATAGTAAAGGAACATTTGAAACAAAATTCTTAAACTTCTATATAAAATTTTATTTATGAGAGACAAAATACAAAAAATTAAATATAATTATTATATTTTTAATAAATAATACATTGTTTTATCCCAGGTAGAACACGGGTGACATGTAATTAAATAGTTGAAATAGAAAATCAAGTCTAGGATTCCAATCCAGTAAGTGGAGAAAATCTGGACGTGTCAATGAATTTATCATATATTAAAATGCTAAATAAGCATTAAAATGAAGGTTACAATCACTACCCATCTACAAAATACAACAAATGAACTTCAATTCCCATGCTTTTTCTTTTCTTTTCTTTTCTTTTCTTTCTTCACCCAAAACCCCAATTTAAGAAATTAAATGAACAAAAAAAAAAAAAAAAATGCCCACATTTCGGCATCAAAAAATTCCCCGTTAGCAAGCTCTTTTTCTGTCAACACATTTACAAGCACCAAAACCCATCTCCCCAGATGAAAAGAATCGCCGCAAGAGCTACAAATATTACGTTTTACCTGTTTTCCCCCATCCTTGTCATTACTTTTTACAAAATCAAAACCAGTCTTTAAATCCCCATCCAATTGATCTTTAGTTTCTTCATCGGTGGTGAATTTTTTTTCAAAGGCGACAAGTCTCTGAATGCTGTTGTTTGAGCTGTTGCTTGGCTTCTTGTTGGGACCAGTAAGCATGGGCAGTTAGGACCCGATCCAAGAGCTCTTGGGGCACCGGCTCATCCCTCCTTTGCTGTGGGGATATTCTTGCCGTGTGCACCAGTGTTTTCCATTTGTCCTGCACAACCCCATGTCATGTGACCACGCTTTTATTTAAAACAAAGCACACTTCTAATTCAAACAGAGTACATGTAATAAATATCAGATTAGCAACAAAGTACAAACTCATATATTTGCTTTCCAACCCAAGGCACTAAGAGCCACTAAAAGATTCATATGTATATTTTAGGAAATAAAAGGAAAAAAAGTGGGCAATCCGTCATTTGGTAGGAAGGAACTAGGAAAATACAACTGTCAAAGTGAAATCGTGTAAAACTAGAATTCAAAAGATTCCTTAGAATAGTTGTTATCGTATAAGATAAAGATATAAAGACCTAGGCCTCGTTTGGGAACAGGCTAATTTAGTAACTTTTTGGCTAATTGGCTAAAAAGGTAGGTAAAAAAAACTTGTATGTTTGGGATGACTTTTTGACTAATTACGAAAAGCTGTGCAAAAAGTAGAGAGAAACATGACTTTTTGGTATGACTAATTGGCTAATTGGCTAATTTAGTAACTTTTTGGCTAATTGACTAAAAAGGTAGCATCCCAAATGAGGCCCTAATCATTTGCCAATAACTCAAGCAACTGTTGTCTAGAACCATTTAAACTACCAGCCTTTTTAGGTCAACAGCAATGCTAGGTATTATGAAAAACCTTTCATGAAAATAATCATGAAAGCTTTGTGACCCTTGGATTGCACTTAGAATAAAACACCACACACAAATCAAGGTAATCTAAGAATCATAAATTTTTCATGACTATTTTCATGAAAATTTTTTCTTGATCCCTAACTTTTCTCTTTAGGTCAAATCTGTCCACTAGACTATTTTAAAATGTAAAAGAAAGAAAGACCTTCACATTTGAAGGGAATAAAATTGAAAGTAATGACTAGTCTTGTTAAAGTAAAAGTCAGCAATAAAAATGCAAGGTGGAAAATCACTTCCTTACCTTGAGATCCACATAAGTTCGATGTTTTGCATTATCAAAAGCTCGCAGTTTAACCTCACGCCATCTGCAGAACAAACAATCGAACTATGGGTAAGAGAAAAAAAGAACAAAAGAGTTCAAAAAAATCAGGTACAAGGTCACAAAAAGAGAGAATAAAATCCGGCATGTTGAGACATGTCTGTTTAACAAATGAGGGTTAGGTTTCGCCTAACATACCTTCCTGTTCCAAGCTTCTCAACAGCTTGAACCAGTGCTTCCACTTCATAAACAGAGAAAGGTGACCGCTTGGATTTCCTCATGGGAACCACTGCCAGTGCCTCGACATTCATTGCTGGGACAGCAACCAATGCTCTAGAATGTGTTGGGCTTTTGTCTATTGACATGTCAGGAGGAGAGGGTGCCAAATCATGATCGCTTTCAATAAAGTTTCCCAAACTTGACAATGGAGGATCTGGTAAGGTATCAGCAGTTCTCTGTTGAACAACGTTATGTACTACACTAGGTGCAGGTGGGTACCTGATGACACAGCATTACATCTTATCAGCTCAGAGACAACTGACCTAACAAAAAAAGTACGTGGTGCAGGAAGAACCCGAGAGCTTGGATTCCAATTTCCAATTAAAATTTAAAAGTACCCTTTAAAGCTCTGTACACTCAGGTTACCACATATCGTAAATCAAATTGAAGGAAAAAATGAAAAAGGTGGCAGATCCACGAAGCAAAAAGATTAATGATCCAATTATGTATAACACCAACATGGAAACAACTAAAAAGCTATGAGCTAACATTAGACTGAAGTCATGGTACATCTAAATTACCTTGTTAGAGGCTGAGGTGTGTCACAAGCAAGTAGAAAGGGACGATCTTCATGACACAGAGATTGGGGAGCATGCGAAGGGTTAGGCTCCAAGGAAAAACCTAAAGCATCAAGCTTGTTATTGTGACATATTCCAGTCTGCAGTAGAGTTTTGTTATCATCTCTAATCTTCTTCCCCTGAAGTACACCAACTCGTAGTCCACCCCCGAGTATAGCAGTCACTGCATCCATAACTGTTCTCTGCAGAACAACAAAGACAGAGTTCAGCGTGCTAAAAGCAGAATTCACTACGATGTTTGGGTTGAGGTAAAGAGAAGATATTTAAATCAAAATTAATGTTCATATATGGCAAACCTTCAGTGAACCAACAGTTGCAGATTCTGGAATCTCAATAACAAGTTCTGGAACCTTGAAAGACTTGATCCTAAGCTTCACTGAATAAAAGGAAAGATATCTTCATGTAAGAACCTATTCGAATGATAGACACCAATCAAGTCAAAAGTGGAAATATGAATCACACCATCAAAGGCTCTCGTACCATAGGAATCCCTCGATTGGAAGGATGTGTGTTGACCTGCTACACAAGCTGATATCCCAGAGGCTGCATGAAGAGTTAGGAATATTAACAGAATATACCAAATCCCGGGGGAAAAATTAAAGAAGAAGAAGAAGAAGAGAAAAGAAAGGGATGGAAAAAAAACCTCCACGTGGTGTTGCACTTGAACCAGAAGCATCACAACTAAACCCCTTCCTAGGTGAACTAGATATTCCCTCACTACTAATTCCTTCAAAATTTGATACCGAGCTACGGTCATAGAGTCTCCTCTTTTTGAAAGGATAATCCCTTTGAGACCTTCGGTGTTTGTAACAAATCTTCCTATTATGGTAGACAGGCTTTATTTCTGAATCTGGAGACATAATCATAATGTTCAACTAAATAAGAGTCATAAAAATTAAAATCATGATGTATCCAATTAAATTGAGAGGGAAACTAATACAATTAAATAGTAAGCAATTACATACCAGCATTAAAATGTTCCTCATCCTTCAGTTTTGGAGTTACTTTCCAATATTTGGATGAGAAAAACTTCCTTATTCTTCGGTTCACTGCAGGAAATTTGAGTTTTAGCAGCGTTTTAAAAACGTCGCTAAAAGCCTGAAAACGCGGAAAAAGTTAAAGCGGCATTTAAAATTTTCGCCGCTAATACGCCGCCGCAATAGCTTTACAACGTTTGAAAAACGTTGCTAAAAATATAAGACGTCGTTTTTGAAAACGCCGCTAAATCTTTGACATCCGCCACAAACTAACGTGTGGCGTCATGATGACGTCATTTAGTGGCGTTTTTTAAAAAACGCCACCTTTTTTTTTCTGTGAAATATAGCATAAGCCAGAGAATTTAACTAAAGAAGGTGGCTTGAAAATTGAACTACGAACACAAATGGCTCAAATTCACATATCACCATGCATCAAGCTAATCAGAATTTGTATACATCCAATATATTGTAATCAACCCATCATAAAACATTATACAAAGTTAGGGAAAAGTTCATAAAAGTATTCAACTCATCTATGAACCAAATTAATTACACATTTCATAAGATTTTTACTACACAAAATATATGTACTCTTCAATCCACACAAAATATACTCTTCAACCCACGTTTTTGTTGGCGTCAAACTTCTCGCAAAGCTCAGATGCCTGAAACAATCAACCATCATTGACTAAATTAGACATGGAATATATCCAAAAAAACACTGTTAGGGCTAATGAAATCAAAGAGAAACAATGAACTGGAAGAAAAAGACAAGAAAGAACAAAGATACCAAAACTAAATAAATGAATGAGCTTCTCTTTGTGTGTGTTCATCCCAACAAGAACAGTTGAATCGGAATTGACATCATCAACCGCAGATTCAATTGCTGGCTTTGCTGATCGTCCAATAACAGAATTGAAGGTGTACAGTGCTCCAATATTTACTACATTCGGCTTTAAGGAAGAAACACCAGCATTTCCAGTCCTAACCATGACTTTCATGGGCACCCACAGACAAAATAACGCCACCATCAATGTTCTCCTAATGAATAGACCAATCTCCATTTCTATGCAAACCAGCAATTGCCTAAACTGATTATTCAGCAATTTCAGATTAGCATTGTTTCATGAAAGTTTTAAAAAATCAGACACCTGTCAACAGATGCAACAAGCAAGTGAAGCGTACAATACAAAGCTTGAAGATATAGGATCAAGATTACCAAACAAAGTGGGTCCCAAAACTCTCAGAACCCACGTTCTCAAAAAGAAAAAAAAAACAAAGTTAGGTCCTGAGAGAGAGAGAGAGAGAGAGAGAGAGAGAGAGTGATGTCAAGATAATTGTTTTTAAGTGAATTCACTACAAATCACCAAAAGGAGCCCATGTATGTATACTAGTTAAAAAGACAAAAGGTATACCATCCTCGAAAGAGCTAATATCCCAAGTTATCAACAATATCCCTAATGCTGTGGATCAATTACACAGTTGTCTTCCACTCCATCCAAGTGTTCATCCCTCTTTGTAGAGGGCAGAGCACCAATCAACTGTCTCCTCCTTGCAACAAGGTTTAAAAAGAACATCAATGAACGTATGGCAGAAACAGAAAAAAAAATTAGAATCTCATGGTTTTAGAAGATAGAAATAGAAAGAAAAAAAAAATATTGCAAAAGTAATACAGAACACTATACCTCATAGCCCATAAAACACAAGCTAAATTTCATTTCTGGAAAATCCAACCTCTTAAGCAACCTGTAATATGCAACGAAGAAATTCATATCAAAATTCAATTTCATAGACTGTAGATTTACTCCTAACTTTCCTTTTTATGAGCAATAAGAAACTATTATAAAAGAAAAGGGATACAAGCCAACTAAAAGAATTCCAAGGCAACTAAAAGAATTCCTTGGCACCCTCCAAATTTTTAAATATACTTCTCTAAGGTTCTTCTGATTGATAACGAACTTAGAAGTGCCTTTGCGGGATGCTTGTGCAACCTTACCTTAGGGGTTAATTCATGCCTTCCTTGAGCGAAAACCTTGCAGCCAAATAGGTCTTCAAATCTGAAACTGCCTCAATGGCCTTTATCAAAGCCCAAAATCAGCTACCTACTTTAACCAGGTATAATATGCACCCAATTGTATAAGAGCCCAAGCAATTATACATGACAACTAACTACAACTTCATCTTCTTTTCTCTTTCCATTTTTTTTAATAACATCCATATACTCTACAAAGGCCAGGAAAAAAGAAATGAATCTGTGTCAAAGATTATGGCTTACCCCATCAAGAAGGTATTCCAATGCCCTTGCTACATCTATAGCTATTTGAATCCTCAAATCCCAACTCAATGGTTCAAGCTTTTCAGCTGAACATCCAAATACTGGATATAAAAAAATATATACAAAAAGAATATATGACAGAAAATTGAAAATGCACACAAATTCTATCTTCTCTCAGTGGGCTGTTACATTGCTGGTTTGATTTTAGTATATCATATGGCTAAACATGCTATGTTCTTTCAGATCACATATATAACTCTACTGATGATTAATTAATTCATTTCCAATGACTAGTCAGTCATTCAAGAAGCAAAGTTTTTGAACTGGATTTAAACTCAAACCAGAAAGTATGTCAGTTCACAGATACACTGAGAAAATAAACAGACAACTGGGAGAAAGAGCATAGCAATGGTATAAAAACTCTTGCAAAAAAAAAACAAAAAGGTAAACTAATACAGGGGAACAGGAGAGTCTACAGACATCACCAACCATGAACTACCATTTTTCAGATAAACTAACACGAAAAACTAATACCAATTTATAACTTTGTTCTAGAGGTCAGTTCCTTCAACCTAAAAAATGCAAATAAACATAATCACACAGGTTATGACGAACTTGTTCAAGGGAAGTCAAAGCACATCCAACACTGTTGCAGATGAAGTTATAAATGATTCCAAAAGCTAGCAATGCAACGGATGAATAAAACCACAATAACATGCCCAACCGCCACATTCCTTTATACTAGTACAAAGTATTCTTCATTATTATGGTATGCCCTTTTTCCTGTAGTGACAACCTAATTAAAATGCATGTAAAACACCCATAACTATATGAATCCCAGAGAAATATAAGACACAAACCCAACAAGATCATCCAAATGAAAACATCCCTATGGGCCTTACCAATGGACCATTGTCTCACCATTGGTATCACATTATAAAAAAGCATGATCATCACAAATTATATAAACGTGTTTTTTCTTTTTTTTTAAACTAAAGAATGAAAAAATTACAGAGTTAATCAGCAGATTTGACAATGATAAAGTAGAGAATGAAAAATGTACCTGAGATAAGAGCAAGAGAGATCAGCAAGAACAGATTGATTTTGGATTTGCGATTTGATGAAGAACAAATCGATTTTGATGAAGAACACAAACACAGACACTAGCAGTCTCAACAAGTTAAAAACCAAAATAATTTTTTTTTAAAAAAAAAAACCACAAAGACAAACACTCTAAATAACAAAATCAAAGATGATAATCCAATATTGTTCAGTTTTTGTGTGTGTGTGGAAATGAAGTTAGTGCATATAAATGTGTGTATATATAGGTAAGTAGATAACATAGATATATTCAAATAGAGAAGTAGGTGAAGGTGAATTGAGATGAATTAGACGAAGAGAGAGAGAGAAGCGAACCAGTGATGAGGACATGAGATCTGCAGTGCTTGCAGTAATAGACAAAGAGATCGGAGTCTGGACTATCTGGTGCCCGTCCTCACTTGATTAGCCTCGAGATCGATGAAGAACAGCTAGAGCAAACTGTTGCGGTTGAGTTCTGTGTGTTTAAGCTTCAAATCGAGACTTGTTGAGCTTCGATCAGCATTGATAAATAACATACAATGCAAAATCTGCAATCGATTGAGCGAGCAAAAGAGAGAGTCTGTGTGTTTGAGCTTCAAAATCGAGGGTTTTGGAAGAGAGAGAGAATGTTTGAGCTTCAAATCGGGATTGTGGAAGAGGTAGAGAAAGTGAGAGACAGAGTCCAGGATGGTGTTAATAAATTGGCCCAACACGACATCGTTTAACGGAGATCAAAGACAACGTTTTCAAAACGCTGTGTGTAATGAATGTACAATGGCATTTCCATAAACACCACAAAGCAAACGTTGCAATATGCCCTTTTTTTAGTAGTGGTTGCCAATACATAGTGGTGACCTGAAGGTCTTTGTTGTGGTGCTAGGTTGAGAGCACCCGGAAGAGTTTTCGTCATCATCTCTAATAACTAACTTTACATCATCCCGACATGCAGGGAAAGAACTACTAGGAATTTGATCAATGCATGAAGGCAACTTCACCCTATTGTTTACACTAACTAAAGCAGGAGGTTTCCTATCCCTAACTGCCAGATCATCCGAACTGCAGATATCAGCCTTGGTAACATTTAATGCATTTCCAGCCTTTGGTGACTCTATTTTTATCTTTTTCTTATTTTCATTCCCTACTGTAAAATCACAAGACTCCTGGAACCCAGAGGAAGCTACTTCTAATTTGCTGGCAGAGCTTCCAAGTTGAATCTTGCTTTTTAACTTCTTAGCAGAACCAACATTCTCCGAGCAATCAGAAGTTGTTATTACAGAGGCAAGTCCCCAACAATCATCAATATGGGCATGTGAAAATTCCTTTAAACTATGATGTAGAGCAGGAGCATGAGAAGCAAGCTCTGAAAAAGAAAAGCTCCTATCACAGCTTCCTCGACCACAAGGTTCAGCCTTTGAAGGATTATCTTCATCCTTCTGCTCTTTCTTGAATGAATCTTTCACAATTGTGCACAGTTCTTTTCCAGTTAATGCGTTACCAGAACTAGGAGAATTTTCTCCCTCCAACAATAACTTGCCAGCTACAGTAGCCAATAAGTAAAATGCGCATATTTGATTGTCATCAACATTCTTCCTAAATGGGACCCTCCTCTAAAACAAGAGAAGGAATTAAAATTAGAAGTCAAAAAGTAGAGCAGAAGAGGAAAAAATTAGAAGGGTTAATGGGCTAGAATGGAAGTTATATTTACCCTAGCTGATCTGGTAGCTCGAGGTGTGGGAGGCACCTGATAATCATTAAATCCATAGTCTAGTCTTTTCTGCAACACCATACCTCAGAGATCATGCCAGAAACTCAACAAATGCAAAACACAGGCATTACCAAATATCTTTCACGGTCCAAAAGAAGCCTAGACAAATGAACACCTGCCAATCACTAAAGCTCAGGCAATGCAAGAATTAGAAGAGATCCTGTCGACAAACAAAGATTACCAGTGAGGGTAATGCTAGGGAAAGGGGAAGATTAAAATTAAATGGGGTCACAATAATGAGAAAAGACATGGTAGAATGGTATATTAGGATAATAGACCAAGTAAAATGGCAAGGCAGTATTCATGGAAAGGCTTTATTGAATTGAGTATAATAAGTTACTCTATTGATTCATAACAAACAAAAGAACAATAATGCAATTTCATAAACCACAAAATATATATATACACATATATATGGTTCAAAGCCCTTACATTCAAGTCAAAACAAAAAAGGGAAAAACAAGTGTATACTCTATCACATTGAAGTGCAAAGGAACATGGATTGAAATCAACCAAAGGGAAAAAAAAATGCAGAATTTAAAATGGCAAAATCCTGCAAGGTACTCAAGTTCATGGAGAAAACAGTGAAAGTAACACAGCAACATTCACCATGTTCCCCACAAGCCCCACATCCCAGTACAAAAACAAATCAAAACTTAGGCAATCATATCCTTGCTATAATTTTCAAATTGCAGGAATTATTTAAAACTAATATTCTACCATTAAGATATCAAAATCCATAAATCAAATATTGTCAATGCCCTAATTGAAGAAGTTGTTATCCTTACAACAAAAGTAACCTATGGTGACGAAAATTAGTGAAGAAAATATATTTCGTCACTAAATAAGAATAATTCGTGTGGAATTTATAAATTTTGTCACATATAATAAAAAAATAAAAATAATAGGTGATGAAATTTATTTTCGTCAATAAATATTTCCTTTTAGGTGAAAAAAAATTAAGTTTCGTCACCAAAAAGTTTCCTGCTAATTTTTTTGGGTGGCGCCAAAATTTTTGGACTTCGGGTGAGAAAAAAAATTGTCACTAATTATAAAATTATTTGTGAGGAATATATTTTCGTCACCAATAATTTTTAATATTTTTGAGATCTTTTGGCGAGGAAATAATGTTGTCACCAATTTTAGCGGAAAAATTTTGATGTATTGAGTGGCAATGAAAAAAAAAAGGGTATTAATTTTTTAACCCCTTTTCTGTTTATCATCTCTCTCTCTCTCTCTCAAAATAGGGTAATAATTTTTTTTACCCATTTTCTGTTTATCAACTCTCTCTCTCTCTCTCTCTAAACACACGCATGTTACCACGCCGCCATTGATCTTTGCCATCGCTACTCCACCTTCAATGCCTACACTATTGTTTGCCCTTCTTGTATACACAGGACTCCACTCTCTGCATCAAACTCTGGTTCTTTTTTCTCTATTTTTTTTCCTTGTATTGCATCAATTTAATTGAGTTGTTTCAATTTTTTTATGGGTTTTCAATCTTCAAAATTTTTTTAGCTTATAATCTAGCTTTGTTGTTGATTTGGTAAATAAATTAGTAAAGAAAACAAATTTCGTCACTAAATAAGAATAATCCATGAGGAATTATAAATTTTATCACGTATAATAAAAAAACAAAAATAAAAGGTGACGAAATTTATTTTCGTTAATAAATACTTCCTTTTAGGTGAGAAAAAAAAATAAGTTTCGTCACCGAAAGTTTTCCTGCTAATTTTTTTGGATGGCGCCAAAATTTTGACACTTTTGGTGAGAAAAAAAATTGTCACCAATTATAAACTAATTTATGAGGAATATATTTTTGTCACCAATAATTTTAAATATATATATATATTTTTTAGAAACTTGATTTTAAATATTTAAAGACCATTTGGTGAGGAATATATTTTTACAGTCCCATTTTGTAGCTCGAAAAAGCTGAGGCTCGAAATGGCTCGAATCGCAAAACGACATCGTTTCGCTATTTTTTTTTCCTTCTCTCTATTCTGAAACAGAGAGGATGAAGAAGAAAGAAGAAGAAGAAGAAGAAGAAGAAGAGATGGAGCAGGGAAGGGGACCAATCATAGATCATCATCAACAATAACCACAACAACACACAACATCATCATCATCATCATCATCAAACACAACACACTGATCTACCACAACAAACCAAACAAATCAAAATTAAAAAAAAAACAAACACAGATCTACCACAACACACAACATCATCATCATCATCAAACACAGATTTTCAAAATCAAAATAAAAAAAAAAAACAAACACAGATCTCGCACCGTCACCCATTACCGTCGCCATCGCCTATCGCCATCTCTCTCTCTTTCTCTCTCTGTTCACCCTCCCTCACTTTCTTCTCTCTTCTCTCGCTTTCTCTTACACTCTCTCCCTTCCTCCCTCTCTTGTTTCAGATACAAAAGAGAAAGAAGGAAAAAAAATAAATAAAAAAATAGCAAAACGACGTCGTTTTGCGATTCAGGCCAATCGAGCCTTGGACTTTTCGAGCTACAAGCTATTTTTCATATTTTTATCACTAATTTTGAAGGGAAAATTTTGCCATATTGGGCAGTAATGAAAAAAAATAGACTACAATTTTTCCTCATTTTTTATTTTTGTGTTTATCAGTTTTTCTCTCATATTTGTCTCCCTCTCTCTGTCAAAACAAAACACGGGTTAGCCCCTTGTCCTCCTCTTTCAAGGTGTTCTTCTCCAATGCTGCCACCGACGTCGCCCGTTCTCCTCCTTCAGTGGCGCCACCGACGTCGTATCTCCGAGCCCGTCCACCCGTCTCCTTTAGTGTCGTGTGTTCTTTTCTATCAGTGCCTCTTATTATTCGATTTCTCTGTTTTGTATATTCAGGTATGGGTCCTCTCTCTCTCTCACTCACTCAATTTCTCTATTTTCTATCTCTAATTTTCTTAATTTTCAGAATTAATGTTTTCCCTAATTTTCGAAACTAATGAGACACGCAGTGTCCCATACGTGATTTGGTGGGACTGTATTTTGCATTTAAAGGTTGTGATTTCTTGGGATTGAATGGTAGAGGCATGATTCATTTGATTGTTAATGTTTATCTGTGGTAAGTACGTAGACAATTACTTATTTGCTTGGTTGTTTTATGTGTATTCGACAAATGACTACCCAGTTGTACATAGATTCATGGAGATCACTTCAATCTCTTTGAAAAAAGAGGGATTATTTAGAGTTAATCAATGCATGTTAATATGCATGGGTTTCACCAAAAATGGATCTTTTACCATGTTAAACATTCAAAATTCACCTTCAAATTCAATATAAGATCCCTTAATCATAGGCTATTAACTTTTACCGGTTCAATTTTTGACATAGAACACTGTCATATTTTTAAATTGCCAGGAATTTCACTTCACTGAACTTTGGCAATATTGTCAAAACAGTGATAACCACCCAGGTCATAAACATAATAAACCTATTTACCAGTGTGAATGTGTGGTACAAATAATAGTTGAGGGAAGTGTTTCTCTATTGCAACCATGCTTTGTTTTATTAGGAATAATGAACTTTTGCATCTTTTTATTCAATCCAGAGGATATCCATTGGATACATTGTGGTAGCTTTGTGTGAGATATGGCTTCCATGTCAAAGGTGGAGGGGAGTAGGTTTTTTCAGGAGATATTATTGGCAATGGTTAGTTACCATATCTGGCATCATTTTACGTTCTGTAATGTTCAAGGCTTATGCATAATATTTGAAAAGTTGGAGTTATTAACTTGAAGAAACTTTAATTTCACTTCTTTTGTTTCCTTTTATGGGTTGAAATATTGGGTTTTGGTGGATATTTAACTGTCCTTAATATATTTCACTAAACATTTAGATTCATCTTTCAAAACTTTTATGAGGCATGAAAGAGTAGTTAACACATTTGATAATGATGACAACGAATACTTGGATGTTTAGCTTCATTCACTTCAGACATGCTAAATTGTCAAGCATTTATTCTATTGAATCAGGTTGAGCATCATGATGAAAACTGAAAAATATTATTACCCTTCCAAACATCGGGTAGTATGATGATGCATTATCAATATAAAAAAAAATAAAAGAAAAAGAAAATATTTGACTTTACTTTAATCTCTCAACTATCCTACTAGACATTCTCGTGACTTATTATACCAGTAAAATGTCTTGAGAATCGATCACCTTAACATATTGTTCAATGTGGATCACCTCATTTCGTATATGCACCATATAAGCTTAGATGATTTTAAATTCACAAATCATAATCTAAGTTAAAACTATATTGTACTTAAAATTAACCCAGCAACCAAATCACAATGCTATGCCCAATTATATATTTTGTGAGAAATCTATTTATACTTAAATTAAAAATAATAAATAAATAAATGCAACTATGTGATTCTGGTATTGAAACTTTCAAATAATTGTTGAAATTCAGCAGATTAAATTTTTATACATGGGTATGATCCACCCACTCAATGTTGATTGTGGACTTTCCATTTGTTCCACTTTTAATTCTTCACAAGATGAACTGATGTTCATAAAGTTTTTGAAACGAAGTTTGAAACATTTTATGTTTAAATGAATGGTTAATTCAGTTAAATAGAAAAAAATTCATTTTTTTTTAATCTTCTACCTCTTTCAGTTTGTGCCCTTTAATAGTTGGTGGTAATGTGAAATGTTGTTTTGTAGGTGCATTGCATGTGCCTTGTTGGTAGTATACTTGGGGTTGTCATATGGCCTGTATGTTCTAGATTGGAAATTCGAGTTACTGAGCTCAACTTCTATGCCTCCCACAAATGAAAGCTTTGTTTACACTGTAAGATTATGCTCTATACTCCTTAACTTTCCTACCAACAATCGATTTGTCAAGTTGACACTCTCTTGGAAATTTTAGGGATGTTGGTAGGAAGACACTTAATTTTTTTTTTTGGTTGTTTTTTTGTGTGGTTGTGTGTGTGTGTGTTTATTGTGACTTGGTTGGAAGGTGAGTTTGTTGACTTTGAAGTAGAATGAAATACATGTGTGAGCTTACTTTCATCTCCAATCACTGTTGTTGAATTTGAATATTCCAATCTTCATGCTTTTTCAGAGCATGTGATTTATTATGGAAACCATGTTTTGTAGTGTTCAAGTCAACTTAAGACAGAAGGATGTCTATGCCATTCTTAGTGATTATAGTGATTCTCAAATATTACTGCATTAAGCATCAACTCATTTCTTTCTTCTATTTGATATTAGGACATACATAATAGCAGAATACTTGCTAATATGTGAGAAATTACACAGAAGATAATCATCCATATTACAAAAACTTGTTAAATAATCTAAATCCTCCATTCATGGAGTTTGTCATATTAGGTGACATGTTCCATAAGAGGAGATCATGGACCTGCTTGTAATGTTGTTGAAATGATAGATCGTTTTGTTCTTGGTCTTAATCATCTATATACAAAACCTGTTTATAGAAACTTGAAGGTAACTCTATTCTGAAGGTAAAATTTTGTAAAATTCTGGTTTACATTCTGTAATCAGTTGATTTCTATATGGTATCCCCTTCACAGGAATGCAATATTTCCAGCATTGGCTAACTTTCAGATAATTCACCGTCATGGTGTCATGCTCCTTTTAATCCTGAAGGTCTATTAAGGTGACCAATCTAATCCTCTCTCTTTCCTTCATGATGGTACTTCAAAACCTCTATTCTATTATGTATCGTCTTATCATTGTTGTTACATGAAAATGCAATACACTTGAGAAATTGGTATTTTGAACTGGTAATATGATGTCATTTATATTTTACTATAATTAAATGGTTCCTTAAATTGGATTAGTCATGAAAGCATATTTAGATTTATAACTTATATGATTCAGGAACATTTGTTTAATAGTTTGAGTTTAGATATGCAGAAGTGAGTACTTCATAGTTTATTAAACCTTCAAGGAGTTGTAATAATGTGTACTGTTGACACCCTGTATTTGAAGTTCCTTGACAGCTGCTGTGACGTGCATAATTGGACTTCAGTATGGCCACATTCTTGGACAATTACAGGTAAGACATCTTTGCACCAATTGATTGTTCCCTTGTTCTCTACTTTTTTTTTTTTTAATCTTTTCTCTTAATTTTGGTGTTTACTCCTACACTTTAATGGACACGTGTATTCTTAGAAAACTCAAAGAGTAATGCTACACTTCATGAAAGAAATATCAAGAAAAACTTTATGAAACTAATCTAAGGGTGATTGCATGACATACAATAAAACACTACAAACTAATCTAAAGATGGAGAATCTTCATGAAGCTTTTTTTTTATATTTTTTTTCATGAAACCT